GAAAAATCTTGATGCAATTATTCATATAAAACGCAACACGCACGAAGCGAGTCGAGTTGAGATGCAAAAGCATTTCGGTGCCGCTCAAACTCAACGAGTTGAAGGTGTGTGCCCGGCGGCAACAGCTGCGACCCGATCCCGATCTCGGTTCTGTCTCAACTCCACTGATCCTCCACTGACAGTTTTCCTGGGAACTGAGAACACTCCACCATCTCGGCCCCAATGCGAAATTCATTTGTCATGCTTATAATTGTCTCACTCCGTTTCGTTCGCCGGCCAAATTGCAATTTTACGGAGCTCTCCGCTTGCTGCTCGGTGTATTCCTTTATTTTTATCCTCCTCCTCCTGGTGCTGCTCCTGCTGCTGCTGCTGCTCCTCTTGTTGTGCGTGGCCCGCAGATTGGCCAAGGCAGCAATTTTAATGAAAACGTTTTGGCCCAGCCCCACACTGAAAGAAATGCAAAAGAGTGCTTTATAAACCTTATAGAGATTCTTGCTAGACAGCAGCATTAGTCTTGGGTTCACTTTCAGTCTTCTCCTAAAAGTTATTTCTCTTCCTAAAAATCTATCTATTATTTTTCCCAGTGCAACCTTCAGTGTCCGCCTGAGATCCTTGGCTGCCTTCACGTAGCCCTTGGTTTTGGCTGCCGCCTGTGTGTGGGGCCGCCTCGATTGCTGTCAGTAATTATGCTTAATTTTTGGCTGTTTGTTTGTATTCTTATTTTTTACTTGGCCAAGTATTTCCCTTGGCCAGCTCTCTGTCGGAGGCGCAGTGAAAGGGCATTTGAGGCAGTTGAAACATTTATTTCGGCTGCCCAGGAATTCGGTATCCACTCATCCATCCGGGCCGGGGCTGGCTTCTCCCATGGCTTTTGTCTGTATTAAGTTGTTTGGCAGCTGCTGCTGCTGCTTCGGCTGCTGCTTCTGCTTCCGTTGGGATGAGGATGAGACTGAGGATGATGATGCCCGGGTTCGTTGTTTAAAATTGAATAATGCCCGCTCATTTGGTTTTATGACATTTCGATAATGATGATTGTTTGCGCCTGTATTTGTGTGTTGTGTGTTATGCCTTTGTTCTGGCATTAACTTTATAAGGCAAACAAATTGTTGTAATTTGGCCGCAGCGCCAAGAGCAAAAACCAGAAAGAAAAAAAAAAAAACTGAAACAAATCCGGAGGAAGAGAAAAAGGGACCGCAAAAGTCAGAGTCAGTTGGAGAAGTCCGTCGACATTGACGGGGTAATTCAATGCAGCGAAATCGTATAATTCCCAGACAGCGGCGATCAAAACGCGCAAAGAGCTGCTAAGACACAAAAGACACAAAAAAAAAAAAAAAAAAAGCAAAGAAATGTAAAGGCAACTGAAAATGAAATCGATCATGATTGAAATCGAGCAGAGCAGCTTCGTCTGCAACTTCGAGGGCGAGTGTTTTGTGAAACATCAACATTTTGACAGGCACACAAATCCTCTTGAAAATGAGATTTATAAAACACACCGAAGCGGCCGCCATAAAAACCAGGCGAAAAAGGGCCAAGTCATTGTCAGCCAAGTCCCAGCGCTGCGCTTCGCTGCGAAATCTCAAAAGTAAACAGAACAAAAAAAAAAAAAAAAAGGAAATCTATATGTGTACAGTGTAGGTTAAAAAAATAGTACAATAAATGGCTTTAAACATCCACATTATTTTGTACGATTTTTTAAAAGCGATTTTTGGTGGATTATGGTCTTAATTATAATACAAATTTATAAGAAACTTAAACAGGGCGGAAGGCAGAATAAAATGTTGCCAAGTAATGACAAATGTTGCTAGGAACATGTTGTGCAACATAAAAATATAGACAAATGTTACTTTTTCTATTAGTCCCCGTTATAAGCAGAAAGTAAGGAATAAAATTTAAAAATAATGAAGTTAAACACATATATTTTATTTATAAAATCATAGAACTTCTCGCTTGACCTCAACTGTATATAGATATACCTTCAATAGAGGTCGGCCAAAAAGGGACTGAGGACCGATGTGGTTTAATGTGTAACATGTAGCCAGGACGGACTGTTGACGGTGGACGCGGGATGTGGGCTGTGTTGTTTGCCAATGTTGCTGCCTCATGTTGTCGCGGTCTTCACTCAGATCCCGACTCTCCAGCGTATTTATTTTCATTTCCAAGACATTGTAGTGTCATTTCAGCGACCGCAGCATGAAAAGCAAATAAAAGCCAACAACACAACACATCGCATCGCGTCGCATCGCATCACATTGCAACGCATCCCGTCCGAACCGATCCAATTCGATTCGATGCGATTCAATTCGAATCCGAATCCGAATCCATGGAACAATCCCGGGCTTTGCTGCAGCTTTTAATTAAGCCAAAGAGCAACTGGTTGCTGGACGTCTTCTACGTCTTCGTCTGGGCCAGAAAAAAAAAAATCAGAGGAACGAAAAAAAAGCAAAACACAAAAGGAATAAAAACCGAAGAAAAATAATTTATCTGCCGCAGCGCGTGTATCTGTATCTGTATCTGCGGCCGGCAATATGTATCTCTCGCCTGATGTTGTTGCATTTGCTTTGTTTGCTCAAGCCTCAGCCCCGGCTTCAGTTTCAGTTTCGGTATCAGTCCCAGTCGCTCTGCGTCGCTCTCCGGCGAAGCTGCTCCATCTGCTGCTGCTGCCCCGCTGAGCCAGCAACACCCCAGATTTCTGCAGCTCACCGTCCAGATACCCTGGAGTTATTGCATGATAAGGGTATGTTGTGGGGGTGTTAAAGTTGCCCAGACAATGTTTCTTTCAATAAGTTCAACGTTAGAAAGATCTACATTTCTTTCTCTGTTTAATTTAAGTTTTTCGTAAATTTAAGCATAATTTGATAAGCATGAATCAATCCTTTACGTACCGGGTATCTCACAGTCGGTCTCTGTTGATTTCCTACTTGTTTTTTCGCAAGCCCAGGCCCAAACCCAATCCAAAGTCAGAGGCTCAGCCTCAGCGCCCGGCAGCATCTCACGTTCATGCGTGGCCACATTTTTTACAGCGCTGCCTGCGTTTTGTTCGTTTTTATGGCAATAATTGCAACTTGATGACTTAATTGCGGATGCAACTTGTTTTCCAGCTTCAGCTCAGCTTTAGCTACGGGAGCAGAGGAGGCAGCTCTCCGTTTGCCTGGAAATTGAATTTTTCCACCTGGTCTGTCCCGTCTGACTCTGAATTTTTTTTCATACATATTTTTTTTTTTTAAGCAGGATATGCTTTCATTACTATAGATAGCTAGTAAATGGGCGATGGGGAGGGGCGCGGCTGCAATTTTCCCCATTGCATAAGCAAATAAAAATTCATTAATTTATGACTGCCAACGGGCAGAGCAAACCAAAGTTGGAGCTGGAGTCTCCGTTCGCGGTTCGGAGTTTGGAGTTTCGAGTTATTTTTATAATCGCAGCAACGTGACATTTATGCGAGTGTTCATGTAAATGATTATTACGTGCCGCAGACCGAACGAAACCGACCGACAACGACTCGACTCCCCGCTGTATCCACTATATATTTCCCGCACACACACTCACGCACCTCTTCTCCTCCTCGTCCCTTAACCCATGAAAGCCCAAGTTCCCACTTCACAGAGCTGTGTTTGCCCAAGTAGATTTCATTTGATTTATTTGCCCCAGCAGCAGCAGCAGCAGCAGCACTATCTACCCATCTCTCTCGTCTTTCGCCTTTCGTCTGGCAGCGCCAAAGTAATTTTATGTTTAATTAAAAAGAATTCTGCGTCATTTGCTTGGAGAGCAGACTTTGATGGACATTTTTGCTATTCACGCTGTTTGCCGTCGATTGTTGTTTGTGTTGCTGTTGATATTTATGTTTAATTATAGTTAACATGTTTTGTGTGTCTATAAGTTAGCAGGCGGCACTGCCGGGTTAAATGGAGGCAAATGGGAATGTCTATGTCTGTGCACGACTTTGATGTTCGTTTTGTAATTACATTGCGTGGGCCCATATATTCAAATCGAGCTTGATGCGAGTACCCGATACAGTGCGTATCGTGGCCGTAAGACAGCGGCTGTCAGTCAATCAGGGGTTTTTTGCAGTTGGACAGGCTAGTTATAGGATATTGAATAATAATGGTTTTCCGGTGTCAGAAGAAAATTAATAGTGGGCTTTAAAAGTAAATAAAAAGGAAGTGGAAAAGCAAATTGTTAAAGATTAAATTTATGTGGTATTTAAATAAGGGATTACTTAAAAAATTAAATATATAAAATAGACATTATTTAAGCACATATGAGAGGAGAACCTCTACTTACAATTAGCGTAAAGCTGTGTCAGGTATTGCACTTATAATTCCCAAGTCCGAATTCAGCAATAAACGGTTAAGGTTAAAGAATCCGTTAAATGTAGTTATAATCAACTTCCTGGACATAAAACTAAATTTAAAACTCAGCAAAAAGACTCATCTAAAATATTTAATAATAATTTTCAATTTGCTCCCAACTTTCGTAATATACTTATGCCGTCCGGTGTACCGTAAATCCTCTTTAAAAGCAAACGTCTTAAATTGCTTTAATGGGTCTGTGTAAATACCCATGATAAAGTGTAGACGAATATGATCCAAAAGACCATCATAAAACTAGCTAAGAGGCATAAATTCTAAAACGAATTTATAGGGTAATAGAAACTGAGTATTTAAAAGGATGTTGGCCATAAGTTATACATCAGAGAAAATTAAGCTTTAAATCATAACCAATCTGATAAAATAAAGCCAATAAACCATACGGCTATAAAAAGTTATCTCAAATATGCCGCCGCAAAGCATTTAAAAAGATTTGATTCCGCGATTTAAACTTTCTCATCCGATGACCACTTAACTTTGATTGATCACTGGACAATAAAATGAACCTCATTTGTAGCCCCCAAAAGCTCTTTTTTGTTTCACGTTAACTGCAATTACAGAGGCCCAGCCGAAAACCCCAAAAAACACACAATTTAATTAACATTTCTCTCTTTTCTCTGTTTCTCTTTTCAGGTAAGTTGTTCAAGCCAACCAAACTCAAACTCAAACCTTCTTCAATCCATATCGAAACGTTTTGTCAGACATTAAAATCGAAACGTGGGTTAAATGTAAAACGTAAGTGACTTTAACTTCCACTGAAAATGCACATATACAGACCCAAGCTTAATATCCCAACTCTCGTACAAATGGGGAGGGGGGAAAAAAAAGAAGAGGGAATCAAAAATTGATAAGACCCGCCCCGCTACGTAGGGAGTTTAAAAACTCATTTAGTGTCCAATCAAGCGGCCATAAAATAAAGTCAATAAATCAAGCATAAAAGTAACAAATGCACGGGCAGCTCACAGATAACACGCACACGGCACGGATACGGATACAGATGCAGATACACCCATATACCCATACCCCCGAACTTGGCTGCATTTCAATAAAAATCCGATACGTTCTGTGAGGTTCAGATGGGGAGCCCGAGGAGCCCGAGGAGCCGGAGGAGCCCTCCTCTTTATCAAGGTGTGATGATCACTTGCGTGCCATCGGCGCCTGACTTGCATTTCAGAGCATCGCCACCTCGGCACCTCCAACCTTTCTCCCCCCGGGCATTCCCCAGCACCGGCTTCCTCCTCCGCTGCCCTTTGAGAATCAATAAAAATAAATCGAAATGTCACAGCGCTGCATGTTTTGTTCAAGTGTGAGGTCCCGCAGCTCTTTCAATCTTCCTCTAAAAATCGAACAAAAAACTCAGTGGAACTGTAAATGACACTGTGGACAGCAAAATTCATTGGAAATTCAATCTGCCAGCTAACTCTATATATTAATTTTACGAAATTGGAAATTAGTTGCCTTAAAAGCTATTGAATTACACAAGGTGGGCGAAGGTGAAGAATGCACAGAGAAAAACAGCTGAACTAGGTGAAATTTATTGAGTAAAATGAAAAGAAATGTTTAAACTTGACGAAACTATGATTTTTTATATATCCGGTAAAAAGGTATTATGAATGGGTAGCACCAATAGGTCTCCCTCAAAAATAAGTTTTTATTAGGTGTTGCGCAACATTTGTTAACATTTTCTTCTGTCCTTACGCCTTGCTTAATTTAAGTTTCACATAAATTTGAGCTGTTTATTTAAAGAAAATTAGCCTTGCCCAAGATCACATTCGTTTACACTCGACACAAGCTTTCCTACTTGTTACCTGCTATTTTAAAGATACTAATCCTGATATTTCAACTGTACAAAATTAACTTATAATTCGAAAAGCGTTACAAGTTTGACACATTTAATAATATACATACGTTAATATTTCGAAATATATTTCAAGAAATGTTATCAAAAAATATCTTATATTTCTTGGAAAAATATTAAAGATAATGTCATTTCCTCTCCCACAATCACTAGTTTCAATAATACCCAACATTTGTATTCAGCATATTAATTTTTATTGCCTTAACCTAGATAAGTTAACATTTGATATGGATATGACTAGACGATTGTTGTGATAGTTAACCGATATAGATGGGGATACCATTAATATGTTAATGTGGAAAAAGTTGTGAATATTTCATTTTTTTCGCTGTGTGAGCTTCGATTCAGAAAAATCAACAATCGATTGTTCGCGGCCGCACATAAATCCCCGAAATGAGAAATGTGTGGCACACAGCATCGCAGTGCCCCCATCAGCGGGGGATCTCTCTGCCCCACTCTCTTTCTCTCCCTCTATGGTCATCTCCCTCCTGGCCTGTCTGAGGGCCCGGGCGAGACTCTGACTATCCACAAATTGGTCGTGTTCAGCTTTAAATCGTTTTACGTAGTTTCCATCGAGACAAGTTTCGCGGCCCCGTAAATGTTTGCCAAATGTGGCGCTGTTTGTAAATCACGCACGCTGCAAGTTGCACGCAACCTCCGAGCCTCCGAGTCGAGTCGATCGATTACCGGTCTCTTTCACGCGGACAGTGTCTCCCTCTCTTTCTCAGTCAGAGATTTGGGACTGGGGTAGGCCCCCCCGCCGCCTTGGGTATCGCTCAAGTATGTTAATCTTGGCCAGCCGTGACTTGGCTGGAGTCCCCGCGCGGTGCCGCGGTCCTGCCCATCGCACATGGCTTGAAATTTATGCGCTGTTCAAACGGCGCGTAATAAATTTGTTTGCTCTTCAACTGTGTGCGCGCATGTTCATTGAAATTGTGGCAACACGGTCCCGGTCCCAGGCCGAAGCGATCCCGATTCTCGTATTGGAGTCCCAACACCAAACCCAAATCCAATTCAGAGCTCAATCCAGAACCCAAACCCGAGCCCAGTTTCCAATTCCAATCTCAGTTCCAAGAGCAATACACTTGCACAAAAGGTAATTAGAGCAGATTAATTAATTGGATTTTAATAAATATCACTAAAACTATACTTAATCTTCTTAATAAAATATGGAAGACTTTACAATCTTATGGCGTTACTCATCTTACTTACTTTCCTACCTTCTTTTACCTTCTTGGCATTCATTTCCCAACACTTTGCTCTCGTTTCGCTTTACTAATTAAGCTCAATTGTGTTTTCTCAGTGTGGCAATCGCATTGCCGCCAACGGCCACTTCATTTTGTAGCTTTTAACAACATTTCAGCATTCTCCTGTATTTGTTTATATAAACGTTTTATTCATTTGTGGGGCTGCTCGCTGCTGCTGCCTGTGTTCTCTGGGTTCCTCTGGCATTGCTTTATCTTTTGGTCAGTCTTTCAGCTTTTGCAGTTCGTGCTGCCGTTCCTGGCGGCCTAATTGATGCGCACTTGGCCCGGGTTGCTGGTGGGATACGACTTCGACCCCCTTGCAACCGCCGACTGGCGGCGTTCCCCCACCATTCCGACGGCATCTGCGCATGCGCAACATTCACACTTTGCTGGCTTCGCCGGTTGCTGTTGTTGTTCGCCCGTCGCCATCTCCAAGTTGATTGCACATTTTATTTGCGCATTTATTTGCATTTTTTCTCACACCGCCGCGGTTCAATTTTCAACTCCAGTTCAGCTGGGCAAAGCTTAGGCTCAGCCCAGTTCCCAGTTCCGTTCCGAGCCGCTTGGTTCCCCTTGTTTGTTTTGTTTGCCAATGCCAATGCGAATGCAATTCAATTGTCTTCAGGTTGAGCGCATTTCGTCTTGGCCTTCTTCATTTGTTTGTTTGTTTTCCTTTCCGCCTTTTTCTGCTGCTGCTGCTGGTGCTGCTGCTGGGGGGTTTTCTCATGTTTGCCGACGACGACTGAGGCCGCCTCCTTTAATAGTTCATTTAGTTTGCATTTTTATGAAGTCTTTGTGTGGGTTGTGTAATAAATTTAACTCAAGTTTATTTATGTGCCATCGCCGAGACATTTATCACTCAATTTGAAGGCGTAATTGGGCGCAAAGCGACAGGAGGCTGCCACAGGAGTCATCGTCGTCGTCGTTGTCTCAAGTCGTCGCTCGTCTCCTCTCTCCTCTTCCTGGCTCCCCAGCTCAACTCAACTTAAATCAACTCCGACTCGGCCTCCGACGACTGACAGCCGATATGGCATCTGTGTGTTGCATATTTTGCATATCGTTATGCAGTTTCCTTCGCCTGATGCAGTTGCTCTTCTTGATTGGCAATGCCGTCTGGAGTTGGCCAAAATTGGATGATCCCCGCGCCAAGGGGACATGATCTTAACGGTTTTCGATTCGTGTCGTGTGGGGACAATTTTACTTCATTTGCATATGGGCATTTTCTGTGTTTTTTATAAGCTGTCAAAGTGGAGTTGCTTTTGACACCCAAAGTGGTTTGGAATTTAAGAGAAATCGGCGCACCAGTTAGCTGGTCAGGAAATAATCCTAAAGGATCATCAGTGGCTTAAATCAAATTGATAAACTTTGATAGTATTTGTACATTAAATAAGACCATAAAAGATAAATTTATATAATCCTAGCCTAGAGTTTATTTTGTTTATTGCCAAATTGCTGCGTTTATCTATGGCTTTTAATTCCCGGAAAAAAATAAACACAAATGAACATCTGGACATGGAAATTTCCAACTAAATATGCAAATGAATATCCGCATATCCATTAAGTGGAAAATTTAGCGTATCCTACACCCACTATACAGCATTTTTGCATACATACATGTGTCAAATTGAATGATTCGAAAAATGTCCAAATTAATTTACTGCTTCATCAAGCATCAATTTTGGCATTTCCCTCGAATTGTTACCTTGCTGCGCCACCAAAAGCCAAACGCCGGCAAACGTCGAATTTTCAATCCGAATTTTATAGTTTGAATAGAACAATGTGTCCCCCCAACACACACACACACACTTAAATCTGCTTAACAAGAGCTATATACAGATACAGATACAGATAGGTATAGGTTTAGGGAGAGAGGGATACTTGAACACGTGTATTTTGGCACCTGTTTTGGCCAGCGCACTGGGAACAATGGCCAGCAGCGCTGAAAATGTCGTTTAGCAACCAGAAACCATTTTAAACAATAAATAAGCAATTTATGCCACAATGCCAGCCATTGGGGGGACAGGGCGAGGGGACGGACTGTCTGTGGTGGGTGGCATGCAAGAATGCTACAAAAGAATTCAACACATTTTGTAATTTCATTTCATCTGCACCTGATGGATAGTTGAAGGATGGCAAAGGATAAGGAAATAAGTGTCTGACTGTCAAGGTGTAGCATGGAATATATATTACTGGAATTCTGAAATAAATTAAATTATTTATTTCCTAAATAAATATCTTATAATACCAGGACATTTATTATTTTTCATGTCCCTTAAATGGGTATTCCTTTAGTCGGCTACAAAAAGAGATTAAACACTAGAGCTATCTGCTCCTTTGTTTATGTTTACCTCGCCTCCAGCAACAGTGTTTTTGACCGAAAAACTTTTGCCTCCAAATTGCATTGCTGCTACTCTGTCTCTCGAATGCGATTCCGAGTCCTGCTCCTGCTCCTGCACCACCTCCCGCTCCATTTCCGCGTCAGTTTCCGTCTGGCATTTGTTGCTGTCTGATTGCCCGCAAAAGACTAGTAGCCGGTGCTATACAGTGCTACCCGAGAGTAGCCCCAGATCCGCAAACAGGAGCAGCCTCATCAGCGGCATTGCATCTCCACACACTGCAGCACACTCACTCGCATACTCGCGAAGCGAACAAAAAATCGAATTTCCCGTGCGGACTGATTCGATTTGGCGTTGCAATTTCACGCTGTGTTATTGCAAAGTGGCTGCAACTGTCGGCGCCAGGCCAGTACCAGCACCCGAAAGCCCAATCCACCAGCTGCTGTAACTCCTACTCCTACTCCCTGGTATACCATCCATGCCATGCCAAAGCCACAGCGGCAGGAACTTGCTCGTTCTGCTACCAAAATAGCAATTTCGATGGCGCACAACAATGGCCAAAAACGAACGAACGCCGGCTAGAAAAAAATAGCACAAAAAAAATCTCATTTAGTGACGAATTAAGCGCCAAAACAGACAGGCGATTCAGTTTGTCAGACAAGCGCTAGACACCGATATAGATACGCGTACAAGTGCACTGGGAAAAATATCTAAGAAGAAACGAACAAGGCCTTAACAGGTTTTAAAATTAATTTAATTAATTCTACTTAAAAATGTGTTAGATATTTATTATATATAATTAGGAGCCTTTTTTATATAAATTTTATAAGTTTAATAACTAACAGTTAACCGTCAGCTCTTCAACATATTTAAAATCACTTTTTTATAATTTTTTTCAAGTGCTTTTCTACGGAAGCAGGTTTAGGTTTGGGTCTAGGTCCTGGGCTTGAGTTTCGGGCATCGGCTTGCAGGCCGGCCTGGTCAGCGCTGTCAAGTGCAGAAGGACGACCGGCGGCAGTAGATGACTCGGCACTATCTATGGCCTGGCATCGATTGGTTTGCAATGGTCTAAACTGGGCCCACCACCCCTTCATACATCCCTTTGACTCCGCCGACTCGTTTGCTGTTTATGGCCTTAAACGCCATTTTGTGCGCACTCATTCACGCCACGGTTTGACATTGCCATACTCGGAACTCGAACTCCCTTGTATGCCCTCGAAAGCCCACTCCTGGCAGCGCCATTGTCCGTCTGCTGCAGGATCCATGGATCCATTGTCTGTTCTGGCAGGGACCCATTCTAACATCCGCCTCCGCATCCTCGTCCGCCGGCACTTCCTGTGGGTGCCTGTGCACTGCCATTCTGACAGATTGTTGCAAGGGCAAGTGCAATATTAGAACATGATTTATTTATGCAATTTTTACCATAAAGCGAGCAATTTTCGTTCACTTTGCAGCAGCGCGCGAATTTCACTGGCATCGTGCATCCATTTGGCATTTGTCTATCATTTTCGGGAGCGCGAGCTCACAATTTGTTTTCCGTTTTCCCCCCATCTCACCATATTTGGTGTTTTTTGGGGGATTTCCCCTAGTAGGGCAGTCATGTCCATTAGTCGATGTGTCGGCACGTCAATTTGTTTGTGTCCGTCCGTCTGCACTGTCGGTATATCCATCCTGGGTTGGCCTGGGACTGACTTGCACTGTTGGCGTTTGAAATTATGATATGGAAGGCGAGCAATCGAAAGCCGTGGAGTTCGGGCCTAATAAGTTCTTACTGCGCACTCCCATTTTGGCAATTAGCCGTGGCATACTGACTGTAATTAGTGGCGGGGCTGAAAAGATGAGCGGGTTAACTAATGGAATGGTTCTCAGGAACGAAGCTGGAGTGTTGACGATGACATGCTGATGGATGCTTCTTTTGATCTCAACATGAGTGATTCAATAGACAGGGACTTTGGGGGAATTGTATCTTGATTTCAATAGAAATTATGGAGATTTTTATCCAAACATGAGTCTTCAGTGGTAATTGTATTGTATTTTATGGATTGATTATACGATTGACCATATCTGTTATATGGGCTTTCTGCTGTTTCAAAACTAGTTAAAAATCTAATTGAATTTTCATAATTAATGACCATATTCTAAGGATATTAACCAGAGTCCATATAAAAATATGTTTTTCTAACACCATTTGATAGCAAAAGGCGCTCATCACAAGGTGGAATAATTTCTATTAACACCTAGAAAATCACTCACTCCCCTTCTCTGGTTATTCATCAAAATTTCTCCTTCCAGCTAGTTTACTCTCTCCCTTTTTCCCTTAAAAACCAACGCAATCAACCGCAATCAACACCAAAGAGCTGAGAGCAATAAGAAAAAAGAAAATGCATAATCAACATTTTTATCATTTGCGATAGAGAAATATGCAAAGCAGAGCAAAGAGCTGGCCAAGTATTTGAAAATGGGGAATGCAGCGGGAAAAACAGAGGGCGGGAAAAACAGAGGGCGGGAAAATGGGGGGAAATGAATGAAGCACATTATAAATGCCAGAGTACATGCTAACTACAACAATTATCCTTAATGTTGCCAGCAACTGCCATTAGGGAGAAATGCGAACGCGGACGGAAAATCTCCTTGTCCATGGCTGATCACTTGCTGGAAAGAAATTCAAATTAAAATGCTTCCCAATGCTATGCAAAATAGTTTCAATTTTCTGCCAGAGAGCGCTCGAGGAATGCTCATTATTCATCTGGAGAAATTTTACGCGAAATATATAAACAAGAGGAGACGGAGGATTAAATGTCAAGGAATGCGCAGGACAGCGAATCAATATCGCAAAGCAAACGGCACTTAATTACAGGCCAGTTGTGAGTTTTCTCCGTGTGCTTATTGATTCACGCTAATAAACCTCAACCTTTTAAGCAGAGGACAAACGCCTGTTAACAAGGCGCCAGGACACGCGATCGACACCATTACCAACACCCGGCTAAAGGGATATGGAATAGGGGTAGTCCCACAAACATATCCTGACGAACATACATACATATATATGTGTATCAACCCCCTGTAATCAAAGCCAGCTGCCAACTGCCGTCTGCATTCCATTTACCTTGCTCAGAGGCACTTTTCAATTATGTTATTAAAACAAGCAAACGGGCAGTTAAGGACCCTTGCAGGACCTGCCCAGCATTGCGTGTCTGCGTTTGTTGTTAGTTTTTTTTCCAAACAACACTAACGTTCATATCGTTAAATATATAATTCTGGTTCGTTTTTTAATACTTTTTTTTTTGTAGAATTTCCTAACCCGACCAGTTACTTATAAATGCTGCAGGAATCGTAATGGCAGTGTGGCAAACATGAAAATTCAATTATGAATACTCGGCTTAAGGTTGACGCCCCGTAATTTCCTAGTAGCCCTCTTTCCACACCCCTCCGTTGCCTCGCGTATCCTGTAGCCGCCTCGCTGGCCAAGTCTGTGGCTCAAGGCAATTTGCATGGGTAAATATTGTAAATCTATGACGGGTTTGCAATCATTTGCAATCGGAGACCGCAGACGGAATGAGCGGAGCGATTCGCACAGACATCGTCTAATTATGTCGAGTAGCAAACAAGATACACTCGCATGCAGCCAGATGCAAATAAAAATAAATATTTACATTCAATTTCGACAAACGCTCGAAGAGCGAGTGTGTGAGCGAGCGAGCTAGCGCCAACTTCGCCAAAGGAAAATTGTGCGTAAAAAGCGGCGGGAGCAGTCGACGCATATTTGTTAACCTCAAGCAACAGACCAAAACCCGAACCCCGGAACCGCAACCAGAACCTGAGCCCCAAACCGGAGCTAAACTGCAAGAAAAAATGTTCCTATATAAAATTACAAAATATGATTATGTTTTGACTAAAAGAGTTATGAGAAATAGGGTATAAGATATGTACACAGTCAGCAATATGATGAGGATATTTAGGTGGAAACTGTTTAGAAATATATTATTTAAACAGTTTTTAATTAAGATCTTGTGTTGAGAAATACTTTCTTTAAATATTGAAATTAATCTTATATCATAAAAAACATTCTACAAGAAATCCCATAGATATTTAGTTCCCTTCTGGCCTTAGCTTTTCTATAGTTTTGAAGTTTTTGAACCAACTTTGTATCCAAGTGTAAAACGAGTTCGATTTCGATGCCGCCCAGACGAAATCGATTACCGACTGATTGAGTGAAATGCTGGGTTCCTCTACCCCTAGGGAATGGGTTGCTGCAGGTTAAGTTTGGCATATAGATATATCGCTATGGCTATGGAGGATATATCTATGGCTATAGCAGCACCAGCAGTAGCATCGGTTACGACGACGACTGTCAGTTAAAATGGTAATTGACTTTTGCGCTAAACCGCAATGTGTTTGTAAACTTGTTGCCATGTTGTCTATGTACACACAGTAACCCCCTGCGATGCCCTGCCCCATGTTGCAATATTGGTCCGGAATGCAACGAGAAACGCGAACTCGAACTGGGGCTCTCGTTGCAATTTCACAAAACGCTGGCATAAGCCAAGGCGCACAAGCCCAAAGCTCCACGTTCGCTATAATGTCATATTAGAGTTTATCAACTGGCTTGGCTATGAAAATTTAGAGCGCTCCTGCGCAAAGTACGGGGATTCCAACGAGGACGAGGATGAGAACTCCAACGAGGATAGCAGAGGGAATGGCAGAGGGACAGCCTGCAATTTTCAATTTCGCGCACACTTTGCACAGATAATAGAAATTTCTTTCTTTCGTCGCACTGCTTTTTCCTCCTTCGCTGCGTTTATTGACACAAATCGCAAACGCATTTGGCATAAGTACCGGCCAACAAGCTGCCTGCATTTTCCAGCTCCACTTTCCCCCCGTTCAGAGCTTGCTTTTCCTCGCTCCCTTTCCATTTTGTACTTATTGTTTTTCTGCTTAAAGTATCTGGGTTATGAGTGGTTTAATGGCAACTCACTCTCGTCCTTTTGTTCAGCTTTGTTGTTGGGCTTCCTTCCAGCCAGGCAGCTTTAGTTGGTTAGTTCTGGCCAAGTTGTGTTGAAGGAACTATTTCCTAAGGTGCTTAGCAAAATGTGTAATGCTCTGCTAAGACAATTGCTAAGGAAACAAATAGAAAAAGGGATAGAGCTTGAAATATCTAGGAAATAAGGGAAATGTGTAAATAAAAATCGAAGAAATTTTATTCGATATTTAAGGGTTTACTTTGTTGTTATAATGTCTTACAAGGAAATTTAAGAAACGGGAATCTAAAATACACCATAACAAAGATTGTCTTTAAAACTGAATTCATAACCCAATAAAATAAAGCACTTTCCTTGAAGGCCAATCAAATGCTCGGCGGCAAAAACCAGCCTTTCAAGACGAGAGGCGGAAAGATATTCGCATAATTATGACTTCAGCGGTTACAGTCTGGCAAATTTTCCATGTGAATGAATTTCGCACAATTACACACGCGTAGGCAGAACCACAAAAAAAGGAGGAAAAAAATGGAAGAAAATAAAGACACGGAGACCTGGGGAGTGGGCACATGTCAGCACATGGCGATGACGATGACGACGACGACGATGGTGGCAAGCAGCAGATCAACTTCATTCACAATTAAGCTAAAAATACAAGCCCCCCAGGTTCGCAGAATAAAATTTATTGTCAAGTGCAGAGTCACAACATTTTCAAGATGTGTAACAGTCACAGTCGTAGTCACAGTCGCAACCGAAATAATTGAGCAGCAGGGAGGCGCAGAAGTCTGGTTCAGGTCTAGGTGTAACAAAGGAGAAAAACTCTGGGAAATACGGTCGAGGAAAATGGGGATGTGGATGGGTGGAGTCAGGCTGTCGCTCACAGCACAAAAAAATAAGAGGAGGACTGGGCTGGGCGGGCAAATCAACAACGCAATCTTAATGAAGGCAATAATTCAAACAAAATGCAAAATTCCCTCAACAAACTGAAGGCAGTCGCTGCGAGTCACTCACTTCACTTCACAGCCGAGACAGCAGCAGCAGCAGCGTTGAAAAATTGCCGCCTGAGAAAGAATTTCTTGTTGAAATTAAATTTTTACAAAATCAAATAAAATCCAGCGTGCGGCAGTCACTCACTCACTCGCTCAATTCCCGCAACGCCCTCGGGATTCCCTCGATGGCGTTGTTTCTCTTATTAATTAGTTTGTATATTTTTGGCATACGAAATACAACACGAAATTGTTTAACATTTTAGCCCCGGCTGCTGGCACACTCACACACAACACACATTAAGTGGCAACATTTGTCAATTTGTTTTGGGCTGTAATTTTCGGGCTCGTCGGAGGGTCAACCTCTCGGACTGGGACTTGGGTGTAGTTAATGGCCGAACATTTGCCTAAATAATGAGCCACCGGTGTATTGCTTTGAATTCGATTTCGCTTGATTAAAAATATATTTCATTGTCGGGGACCGTTGCCAGCCAGCCGCCTGCCAGTCCAAAAGTGGGTCGTCGTCGTCGTCATCAGTGGGTGGATCGCATTGGATCAGAGCTTGTTGCAGCTGAGAAGCTAATCAGGCAAATGTGGCACACTTTTCGGTAAGGTGAATTCATTAGCCTCCGAGTCCGGTTAGTTGGGGGGCAGGACAAATGAGTGTAATCGTCAGCCAGATGGCATTGAGTGATGGGTATTGGTGTGGGGTAGAGTCTGGGCAAAACTACAGTGGGATATGCAGGAGAATTATAATATTTAGAAAGCTAATTAGATTCTTTAATGAATTAGAAATGTTTAAGATTTTGAATTCCTTTAGAATTCCCAAAGGAAACGGATATTGAGAACTTCTTTTAAAGATCTTTGTGTTTTGGATGTTGCGCAACATGTTTCTAGCAACATTTGTCTTCAGTTGTCAACATTTTCGTCTGCCCTTCGCTCTGTTTAATTCAAGTTTTCAATAATTTTGGGTGTATTTAGATTGCCAATGCTTCTTTTAATATATTAAATATATTTTGAAGTTCCTTCCAAGATTAAATATAAATTTCTACCTAACAAATTTCTCTTGCTTAAGGAATATTTGTCCATCAACTTTTTCGAGCGAATCCAATCCGCTTCAGTATTTGCTCAAATCTAGCTTGCTGCATAATTAAAAGTGAAAAAAAGAAGGAAAATGAAAACTCTCACCTATTTCCTGTCCCCCCCAATGCAGTGCAATTTTCACTTTTTTTTTCGTTGTGTCCGCCGTGTCGTCGCCGCTCCGTTTTCTCATTTTGTACAAATAGCCTCAAGGCGGCGCTGGCCGGGCAAACTTTCGAAATTTAACGCCGGGCACAATGGGGCACCAGGAATTGCCGGGACGGGCTGCCAGCCGCAGCAGTGGCGGAGAACAATTACGGGGAGTTGGTGGTACCCCCGGTTTTTCGGTCTTATGCAAACAGGAAACGTATAATGAACAAAGTCCGAACGAGTCACTCACTCGCCCGGCGGAGTTGCGCCGGAGAGAGCACGCGACTCGGCACTCTAGACTGTGCGGACTTGCGACTCCTCCCGGCCTGCTGGATGGCATTCATCCATTCATTTTTGAGCGGTTTCGTGGTTAACAACCGCTTCCTTATCCTTATTATTTTAATGCCTGCGGCAGCATTCCATCTTACTTACATTTTTCTCTCCTTCTCGCTGTCGCTGTTGTGGCTTAAATATTTTAGCTACCGCCAGCTACTAGTTGGGCGTCTGTCTGGGCCGGGTCTTTGTGCCCATAATTGGGGTTAACTGCGTTCAGCAGGTGAGGAAGCTCTGCTCCGTTCCGATCCGGTCCGCATTGTGTGCTAAAGTGTGCCAAAAGGAAGAGTACCATCCGTGGTGGAGTTTAATTTCAGCTTTCTTTATATTTTTTTTACCAGCCTCCGGCTTTGGGGCCAGCAATTAACTGCAATTGAAAGTGAAATTGAATTTGAATTTGCATCTGCACAAACAGAGAGAGATCCGGAATAGATGGTGTGTGCTTTTGACATTGGCCTGCCACCGGGGTGACAGAGTGTCAGAGTTGACACGCATGTTGAGAAAATTCAATTAAAAATTGTTGTGCTGCACTCTGTTGAGACTCCGTTCGGTCTCCTTTTATTTTTGCTCGCCGGCTCGGCTCATCGCCGATTCAGTTGATAATTATTTTTACGCGCCGGGTTGCAGGGTAAAGTGCATTAAAAATGCAAATGGCAACACTTTGCCACTTTGATGCCAGTGTTGCCAGTGTTGTCACGTTTGCCGTTTTATTAATTTATTAAATTAAAAACAACGCAAAAGGAGCGGCAGCAGTAGTACCGCGTCGGCGACTCCACACTGGCATGTGTAATTGTAAATTTATGAGCGTGCCACAAATAAAAAGGAGGCTCGGTACAGTAAAGTAAAGCAAAAAAAAAAAAAAAGGTGAATCCACAGCAGGGGCAACGAGTTCAACTGGGGCGCACTGTCAATCGTGTTGCATGAATTATTAATTATTTGCTTTTCGCACACACACTGAGATACTACATGAGGGGGAAGTAGGGGCAAAAAGATACGCCAAGGCAGTGTTGCAATGCGGCAATCGGCTGTCAACTCTCCGCCACTTTGACAAGGGAAACACTAATAAAATTACTAACCAAAATGGCCAAAAAGGCATTCGATTCATTGCGTCACTGATTGCCAATAAAGAAGAGAAACCGAAATTAGTCTAATCTAATTACCTGTCACGCTTTATTGTCTTTAGCATAACGAAATGGATTTTGGAAAATAAAAAGTCAAAGCCTATGTTGGTTTTTTTATGTATCATCCCGAAAGAGGAAAAAATTTGAGGGGGAAATAAGAGAGATGAGTACTTTTAGGTGGGTAGGTAATGTGAGAGGCCAACCCCGAGGCGGAATGGCTGAGGATTCGGTATTCAGGACTCTCCTCCACCCCGACGCCTTATTTATCCTGCGTTTTCCCCCAGGGGACACACGGACTTTGGTATTTTCCAGCGCTCTCCCTCTCTCTCTTTCTCGCTCGGTGAATTATTCAGGCCTCAATCGATGGCTGGCCGAGCATCTTCCTCACTGCATACTGTACTGGGTAGTCTCCTCCTCCGCCCACTTCATATATCCCCCCTCAGTGCTGCTGACAGTTTATTTGCCAAATTGCTTGCATGTAATATGAAACTTTTTCTTCCTTTTCCGTTTCTGTTTCGAGGCTAATTTTTAGTTTAGGGAAGAACCAACAAAAAAAATGTGTCTGGGTGTGTGCTAAATCGAAAATCTGAAACACGCGTCACACAGCATTAAATGAGAAGGCAGGATCAGGAGATTTCCAAGGGGTGAAGAGTGGTTAGTTCACTAATACGGCATGACTCAACCGTTTTCCACGTAGAGTTGAATGCCAAAGCAACTTATCTGTGCTGGCATATCTTTATTCCTGGCTAAATGCACTAGGAAAACATAATATGTATTAAAAATATATTTTAAATTAAATATAAATGCCTGTAAACCAGGCTAGAAATTTAAATAAATTACAAATTAATTTAGTAATAACATTCTTAGTTTTTGGGTAGTTTACATAATAGATAGTTATAAAATATATAATATTACCCATACTCAATATACTTTTTCTCCCAGTGCCTTGTACCCAACCCCTTTTGTCCGCATCCTGACCATAATTCATAAAACATTTTAAATTTGAAAATCTGGCCGTGGAAGGGGGGGAATAATCGGGGAGAACACAGTTATTGTTGCGTTATAAATCTAATTAGAATATGGATGTATGTGTTCGGGGGCCCGTATCTGAATATGCACGTAGACTAAACCAATTTCAACCCCCCCTACCCCTACCCTACGGCACTGGGCTCATTTCATATGCTCACCGCATCTGGCCGCATCTGAAAATTGCCAATGGCGCCGTTGCGTCTGGGGCAATAAATTTGATTTGTTTCAAATTACAGTAGAACGCAACGCGAAAAATTGTATTTTCTCTTTCTTGGTGCATTTTTTTTTTGGGACTGAGCCGGTAAATCGAATTGAAACTGAAATCCTTGGCTGAGCTGCGGTTGCTCTTTGTGGGCAATTTTCATAATTTACATAAGCAAATCAAATTGTGAGCGTAATTCGAAGACAAAGGCTGCGAGGAGGAGAGTGGCAGTCTGAGTCGCTGGCTTAGAATGGAACTATGTTGAGTGGATGGCGTAGATTTCTTCGTCTCTTTATTTTCAAACTCACACTCAGACTCACACTCACACTCACTTGTTTTAGAAAAATTGTGTCAGCTTTTTGCGAAAGCATTTTCGCTCTAGCCTCCTTTGTTCCCGTCAATGCGCCAAAGGAATTTGGCTCAAGTGGGGCTGTGAAAGGATAGGATTGTCGCCTGGCAAAGTGTGAATCCAGAAACGGGGAAAGCCTTTGAAGTGAAGTGAAAGTGTTCAATACAACACTGCAGCACAATCGATGGGCAGAAGCACGCTTAGCAACACTGCACCGGTCACTTTCACACTTGACAGGCACCTTTTTTTTTTACGGATGTGTGTTTTGTGGATTATTCCTATTAATAATTGTAAAATTTCTGTACATATTGTGAAAGAAATCTGGACTCAAACCGAGTGCATTTTAGAAACCTTTAGTGAAATAAACGAATCCACGACACGGACATCACAGAAGCAGCAGAAGCCATTTATATATATTTTAAAGGTGTGCATCGAACTTCCAGAAGGAGACACTATGATGAGGACTTCGGAAACGTCATTTTGAGGCAGATTTCAAAAATAATTATAAAAAACCCACCCCGATCTGTTCCATTCGGGTTTCCAACAAGCCTCATTTCGGAGATTTTCTGGGTCCGTCATCAGGCGTTCGGTTTGCCGTCAAGCCTTTGCTTTCTTAAAGTGACAGACAGAGGTACCGAACACACACCATATTCTTTAGCAGTCTGTGTGTACGTACGCACATATATCTGGATATATGTCGTTTGGATCGTGACGAGGCCGCATCGGTAGCAATGTCCACTGCCCTGGCAGCGGCAACGGCAATGGCAGCGGCATCCTCGAGTGCCGCACCAGCAGCAACGACCGTCAGCAACACCACAAACACCACGAACACCACCATAGTCACAGCCACAGCGTCGCCGGCAACAAACAACAACAGTAGCAACACCACTACCATTACCACCCATTCAGCCAAGTCTACAATCACGGCGGGAATCCTTGAGCCAGTCGGAGGGATTGTAGTCGAGTCGCAGGAGTATCAGGCGGAGCAAGTGCCGCCGAACTACGAGCACAGCCTGGAGACGCCGGATCACCAGTTAATATTGAACAGTGCTCCGAAGCCACGGCGTCAGCGCAGGACCACAGTGGTGCACACATGCCCCAGGCCACCGGGTGGCTACAGGTACTCCATGGAATTTCTTTACGGGATCGGCAGTTGTATGGCCGGCACCACCCTGAATATAGCTACGCCTCTGTCGATAACGCCCCGCAGTGTGAGGACCACGCCCCCCTCGCTGGCCACTCGCATGCCTCTGCTGACCACAATGGGGATGCCAACCTCTGCATCGCCCCGTCCCATCGATAGTAATCTTCCGAGGAATCGTTACGCCATCGGCGTTGTGGGGCCAGGATCTCCAGGAGGACTCGCTGCAGTTTCAACGGTACCAGCAGCATCGCCGACTACGACCACTGTGACTGCCACACCCGGCACCTCGACTGGATCGCCTTCCACGGGTGTCCTGGCCGCTGGTTCCCCCGGAGCTCTGCCAGCAGCCCAATTTATATACCAGGGATATTTGCCCAACGGACCACAGCGGCGCCTGTGGCATGCGGAGAACGCGTTCTGGCAGTTCGACCGAAACTATCCGTACAACCAGGGCTATGCCTCACAATACGGAATACCCATGATGCCAGTGGGATTCGAGCATCCGTATGGTAGTCAGCGTATCATATATCCTGGCTACTACAGCCAGGCCTCCGGGCCATTCCATGCTGCTCCTGTGCCGGGCATACCAAGGGTCAGTCGCCACGTGGCCACCACTCCTCAGCAGCAACAGCCGAAGCAGCAACAGCAACAGCAGCAACAGCAGCAGCAGCAGCAACAGCAGCAACAGCAGCAGACTCCGGCGGCACAGCATTCCCCTCACTCCCAGCAGCCGACGACAGCGGTGAGTGGTGAAACCACCGAAGAACCAATTCCGGCACCGGGCATCACGTGGCGGCATGTAGGCCCCCCCGCAGCACAGCGCGACCGCTTGGGATCAGGACGACAGGCGGCAACTACGCAGAGCTCGACGGACTATCACAGGGAATCAAAGACATACTACAAGAGTGGTACGACCGGGAATGGCGGAGGGGCTCGCTTCAAGGCAGCACCCTTTGACCAGCAAATGCAACCAGGAAATTCAACAAGGAATTATCCGGGAGGAGGACCTGCAGTAGGCGGTGCTGTACCAACACCAGCAGCACCCCCGCCGGTAGCCGCAACAGCAACCGGATCCAGAGATCAGAATCCGTCAAATGCCAACCAGAGTCGCAACTATCAAGGATCGGCAACCAATCAGCATTCCAAGAGTCGTAGCCACGGAAAGAGAGGCGGCAAGAATTCGCAGGGCAAAGAGCGCACCTCGAACTCCTCCGGGTCGCTGTCCGCCTCCTCCTCAAAGTCCCACCTGGACAGAGCTGCCAGCTCGAATACCTCCATAGCCCCGCCAAAGCATCCCAATCGCTCCTACCGCAACCGACTTCGCTACATCAATGGCAATGATTCGCCCGAGCGTAAGACGGTGCCCATGGGTATGGCAGTGCCTGTTGCCACTTTCCAACAGCAGCCACAGCCGTCTGCTGTGCGCAGGGCTGGCAAGTTTCAAGGAGCAAATGCCTATCACGGACATGTGGTGGAAAGTGGCAAGCCAGTGGTCAGCCGGCAGCAGTCACGCTACTACCAATCGCGAAACATTGATGCCTATGTCTACCAGCCAGGACAATATATGGTTTACGCTACAGGAGCGCCTCCGCTAGGACTCGGCGGAGTGCTACACCCGGGACAAGGGTGCGCTGGCATAGCGATGGGAGTAGGAGGAGGACCTAGGATCGCTGGGAGTGCAAGTGGAAGGGGAAGTGGAGGTGTGGGAGGAGGGCATACGGCCACGGCCAGCAGCGCCACCTCGGAGGGAGAGCAGCCGCTGGACTCGGACTTTGATCAGCGCCAAGATTATGCTGACTTGGGTCTGGATCCAGCCAATGGCGGCTTCTCCTCCGACCTGGAGCCGCTTAGTTACAAGCAGGACACCTCAGAAATGGACGTGCATTCGTGTCCTCTATCCCATCCGTGTTCCGACATTGAGGCAACCGACGGCCAGTCGAATGACAGTGAGGCAATCAGCACGGCACCCAGCCAGGACAGCGATGCCACCGAAAGCGATTTGAGCGGTGCATCTGTGGAGTCGGTGGTGCGCAAGGTAATGGTCAATTGCCTAGCCTTTGCCACCGGGGCCGAGGTGCCCGATCTCAACGGTCCGAACCTGGTGCCCTACGGCGATATGCATTATCTCATGGAGCTGGGGTTCCATTCTCAAGCATCCATGACTAATGGCTACAGGACCTCCACGCATCACCCACCGCCAAATCCGGCGGTTCACCAACGTGTGAGAGGCATGAGCTGCTGCGGCGACATGTTGAGCCACTCGGCGGAAGAGGCGGGCTACAAATTGGAGCAGGATCAGCAGCAGCAACAGGATGGCAATGACGGAGGGAAAAGCCGCTACGAGGAAGCTGACTACATTTCGGCAGAATCCAGTCTCTCGGTCACTCCTTCCGCCTCCTCCAGCAAGAGTGCCGAGGCTCCGGTGTCCACCAGGGCCAATATCATCATGGTATGTCATCACCTTCGTTAAGTAACCTTTGCAGATGATTCTTTAACTAGTTTTGAAAGATGTTTTCAAAGCTTAAAGAAAATTCTCCCAAAAGAAACCACCTGCAAAGGTTATCAGGAATTAGTAATTATTTCTAAATCTGAAATTATCGTCCTAAGCCAAAGGAATCCCTAGAGGATGGACTTTCCCATGACATGAACAATCGATATTGGCGCGAGTTCTTTGGTTATACGCCAGCGGACCGCTTTCTGCTACGAGCCAAGCAGGTGGAGATGAAGCGTCCGCCAAAAACAGTGCCCGGCAGCACCAAGTGGGATTCCCTGTCCCTGTCCCTTTGGAGGAAGTTCCTGGAGGCCCAGCAGACCCGTCACATTTACAAGACCAAGATGCGCCTGTGGCGATTCATTTACACAGTGGCCATGGTGAGTTGGGATAATGTTAAAGCCAAGCCATATTTCGAGCGCTCTCTCCTCCGTCTCCATCATGGATCCGCAGACGACCTATCCAAGGTACGGCTTGTACCTGGTGGGCTCCTCGATCTCCCACTTTGGTTCCAAGTTCTCGGACATGGACATCTGCATGCTGGCCTGTACGAATCCGAACATTGATCCCAGAATGGAGGCCGTCTACCATCTGCAACTGATGAGGGAGCTGCTCAGCCGCACGAACGAGTTCCAGGACTTCAATCTAATCGAGGCCCGGGTGCCCATTCTGCGCTTTACCGATTGCCGCCACAAGGTGGAAGTCGACATCAACTTTAATAATTCCGTTGGAATCAGGAATACCCATCTCCTGTACTGCTATTCCCAGCTGGAGTGGCGAGTGCGTCCGATGGCCTTGGCTGTGAAACAGTGGGCCCAGTACCACGACATCAACAATGCCAAGAACATGACCATTTCCAGCTACTCGCTAATGCTGATGGTCATCCATTACCTGCAGGCCGGAGCCAGTCCGCCGGTTCTGCCTTGCCTGCACAAGCTGTATCCGGATAAGTTTGGCCTCCTCCTGCCCACCGACTTTGGCTACGTGGACATGAACGAGGTGATGAGTCCGTATCCCTCGGACAATACCCAGTCCCTGGGCGATCTCCTGATCGGATTCCTGCACTACTACAGTGTTTTTGAGTACGGCAAGTACGCCATCTCCATACGCGTGGGCGGCGTCCTGCCCGTGGAAGTGTGCCGGGCATCGAAGGCACCCAAGAACGACATCCATCAGTGGAACGAGCTGTGCATCGAGGAGCCCTTCGACCAGACCAACACGGCCAGGTCCGTCTACGATTCGACCACATTCGAGCGCATTAGGGCCATCTTCCAGGCCAGCTACCGAAGGCTGGAATCTACAAGGAACATCAGCTCCATTTTCGAGGACTACGATGGGCCCACCATTGTGATGCAGCAGCCGTCCGCAGATTCAGAGTGTGATTTCTACGAGGGCCAGCAGCATCATCAGCATCCAATGACCAATAGGCCGGTCTTCCGTTCTAATAGTGAGTTTCCCTCGCCCCGCCCCTTGAAACTAATGGTGGACAAGGCCACCACGGCCATTTGGACTGATATCAATATGAAGACGGACCAGAAGGAACCCGAGGAGCACCAGTCCAAGGACATGGGAGTGGACGATGACTCTGTGGCCACCGAGCCACCGCTTGCTTAACAACTCCCACCACCATTCGTAACATAAAACACTAAACAACAAAAGTTCACACACCACTCTCAAAAACAAGTCAACAAGACAACAACATTCATTTAAACCCCATCAGGACGTAAAAAAAAATTGAGACGTTGTGAAAGTAAGTTTTTTAGTAGCAGTTGCCGGACGCGTTTACACCAATTTAAATTTGACGTTGGATAATTATATATGCCTAGGGAATTTAGTGAAATGACCAAATAAAAAATTCACAAAGCATCCAAGGCAATGCAAAGTCGGTCGCAAAAAAAGCACTAAAATCTGCAAAAAGGCAAAGAAATATTTTCACCTCGAATCAAACGAACTACAACTAGTTTTTACCAGCTTCAAAGGCAATTAAATTGCTGAAAAATCCTGAAAAAAAAACTTTAAATTCAAAATAAAATCCCAAAAAAATATATATAAAAATTATAAAATTCGAAAAAAAAAAAAGAAAGCAGCACTAGCGATAGTTTAGTGAAAATTTGTGAGGCAGGGCGAGATACCCAGAATAATGCAGGGATGTAGGCTTTTATAGGATGAAGGTTTACACTTTTATACCTGCACAAAAAAATCAAACAAAAACAGAAACAACACTCTAAAAAAATAAAATAAATGGAAAATCAAAGAAAAAACACTAAAACCCAAGAAAATGCTCCACAAAAAAAGTACACAATACATTTTTGTAACAAAATAAATGTAAAAATCGCGCTAAACATCTACGCAAAAATGCTTACGAGTTACGATTGAGTTTTTAAAGCTCAAGCCAGAACTTAGAATAATGTTTGATGATAGCGCCAAAAAAATGATATACAAATAAATAAAGCTAACACGGCAGAGGGAAGGTTATTTTATTATAATTATTATTATTTCTCAATATAAAGCTCTCAACGTAAAAGAGCCAGAAAAATTGTATTTTGTAATATGATTTTGATTGTCATAGGAAACCACTTTCATTGGATTAACTAGGTAATAATTACTTGAAATATTCACTGCACATGTGTGCATATATTTTAACCAAATGAAATCATCCATCATCGGACCATTAGTTGACGGTCTTCATTTCAACACTAGGACTCGAACTCGGACTGGGACTCTCTGGGGTCCGAATGAAATTATGTAGGATGCTCAATTTGATATTCCGCTCTGATTAATTCTTAGTGGTTGCCGTCATCATCGAATATCACCCTTGGGACACACATACACACAACTCCGAATGTCCGGAATTCTCGCACATGTTTCAGTTTGGCAATTATCTAAGGAAATCAAATCAAATCATTGATGCAGCTGTTACGCAAGGGCTGCTGGGTGCTGAGTGCCTAGTGCCTAGTGGTGGTGACCGATGGACAATACCATCTATCAGTCTATCTGGGGGCGTGGTCGAAACTCTGTTACCATCCGCATCTGTTCGTGGAAATTGCTAGAGAGAGAGAGAGAGAGAGGTGAATGCGGGCGGGTATCGATGACAACCAAAAATGTCAGTGCAGCAAATTATTTCATCAATTGCAATGCTCGATTTCAGTGCATCGGGGATGTAGCCGTAGAGCTGGTGGTTCTCTCCTGTCCCGTTTTGGGTAATTGATATAATGCCAATGGGTTCCTGTATTCCAGAGACGAGACTTCTGTCCTCGCCCACCTAATGGCGTCGAACTGTCAACGGGATTTGGATTGGATTGGGATTGCGATGGCAATTGGGATTTTGGGTGGGTGGTGCGGTGTGGTGCTGTGTGGTGTCTGTAATGCAATACCGTGTGGCATCGCCAATCACCATTGCCATAATCATCATTATCATTAACGCAGCCGAACAATTGTCACACTAATTTGCGCATATGTGCAAAAATGTTTGACAATTAAACGCCGCAGCCAAGTCCCTCGATCATTTTTCATTCTCCCAAGTAATTAATGTCTTTTGTTAATGGTAATGCATTTGCATTCGCAATTGGAATTATACCCCAATTCAGAGCTAAGACAATTTGCACAACAAAGGGCGCTGGCTATGGAATGCTGAAGGATGAACTTCATTAAAATTTTGCACGGCCCAGCGCAGGATTGAAAGTGGGATTGGGATTGGAAAAATAGAGAGCAGCAGCTGCTGCATTAAAATTCCTGTCCGGGATTTGCTCTTTGGTCTTGAATAATTATTCATTGTCATTGTAATTGGCGTGCCAGGCGCTAAATGGAATCATAAAAGGGAGCACCGGGCAGGGGCAGTGGGAAAACTCCGCCTGTGCTCACAATTTTCATTTTTCCACCAGCCAGCCACCAAATTGAAGTTGCTCGATTACTTGGACACTTTTTTTTTTTTTTTGCTGCCTCCCACATGTCGAGAGGTATTCTTTTTTTTTTTTTTGTGCTGCTGTCCTGGAGAAAGAGCGATTACTCCCCATGGGTCTCGGGATTGGGATTGGGTTTTTGGTCTCGGTTTTGGTCTTGGCTTTTATATTGTTTGGGACACGTACGGGAATTTTCATTCGATGTCATTTCAATTTTCCTGTGCTCCTTCTTTTTTATGGACGCACAGAGACAAAAAGGGTTTCGATTGGAAAGATGCAGCTAAAACACAAGGACCTGACATGGGATTGCGTTTCTATCGCCGCCTGCCTCTGTCGCTGTCGCTGTCCCTGTCCCTGGACACTCTATCCTTTGGGCCTTTGTTTTCTTGTTGGTCACTGAGCAACAAATTACCTGAGGCAGGTGAACAACGACTGCAAAACCAAAAGGACTCACTGCTCACTCCTTGGTGTGGACGAAGGAATGAATAAATGAATGAATGAGTGCCCTGAAGGGGGTAAGGGAATGTGCGAGTGCAAGACTGAGTGACTTCTGATTGGGTTGGCCACCTAGGCAGCTTTATTTTAAAGAAAGAAAGAAATAACCCTTAATGCCATTTTAAAGCAATTAAACAAGTTTGTTCAATAACAAAGAGAGTGATAAGAGATAACGCTTATCAAGTCAGATATCAGGGAATTTTATCAGAAAGAACATATTATATTTTAATTAACTTTAAATACTTGTAATGCCATTAAATATTTAATTGTTTACTACATTTCCCCCCCTTATTTGCTCTTCTAATTGCAGGTAAGCTCATTACGTCAATCCTTTTTAACACACCACAAAAGCGGCAGAATCAACAACAATAATAACTAATGTTAGCGTAAGTGCTTGTCTACAATTTTAATTAGTTTTAAATGCAATTTAATGCATTTGTTTTCTGTTGTGCGTTTGCTGTGTGTGTGTTTTTTTGTGCCATGTTTTGGTTTGCCAAATGCTGAAGCACTTAACATTATTTTAGACTCGGAGAACGAGCTAGCTGCATTGAATTTAAATTTGAAAACAATAAATCATTTCTACCTTGTGATGATAAATGCCGTGAATAATTTTATGCAGATTAGTGTGGGGGCATAAATGACTCACATGTGTGTGCATTCCCGTACAATTAGAAACGCATTAAATATTTAAAAGCCAGCCATGGATTATTGCTTAAAATAAATATTTATGTTATGTTTGCTTTTGGCTTGATTATATGAACTCTCCCGCAAAGGGTAATGAACTGCATTTATTTCGCCAAATACATATGTCCTTGGGCTTTCCAATCTTTTACGATTCGCTATAAAAAAGAACGGGTGACACACGACCTTTTCGTAAAAGAGTTTATTCCCTTAGTTTTATGGCTCATTTGGAGTTTGTTTTTCAGTTTCCGCCCCTCGCATTGAATGAAAACAACTCAATTTCTGTAATGACCACGCCTTGCCGATAGTTAAACGCTCAGGACATAACTATTTCAAAAAGAAACAACGAAAGAAAATCAATCAATGTAAAATGGGGGAAATCCCCTTACTATAAAGCTTTAAGGCGTGTCGCTGCCACGCCCTCAGCCGGCGCCTCCGCCTCCGATGTCGCCTTTTCCGCCGTTTCGGCAATCAAGCTCATTTATTATGCATTTTTCATACGAGTATGATGGCGTTATTCCTCTTTTTTTTTTGTATTTCGGCGAACTCTGTGCAGACAATTTAAAATCAACCGCAGAAAAAGCAGAATGGCTGGAAAATATCCTGCAAGGGGAAGGAGAGCGTCAGAGAATGTGAGGGGCAGCGACACGCATGCCAGCCAGAGTTGCCGCCTTCATGCGCGAGGACGAGGACTGTGACAACCGATGGCAAACAAAATCGATCGCAAAAATCCACGCACATGCACAAATTACCCGCATTTTTTGTTTATGGGAAAAATTGAAATTCATGCAGAACAGCCCAGCCCTTCATCATCCGTGTCCATATCCATATCTGCCAGAATATATCTAGCTGCAATCCATATCCCTGTCGTATCGCTGTCATCAATGGCCCCCTAACAATCTGGCGATAAAGGTTTCTCCTTAAACAGTTGTGGCCGAAAAAATAGATACCATTTATGGGTTCAAGTCGAAATGTTTAAGTTCAAGAAGTGTATAAGAAATGTGTGTTTCAAAATTGGAGGCTAGATTCAGCGGTAATATAAGCATACTTTCTGTGCTTACTGTGCGGATGCTGGTCAGAGAAATTAGTATCAAAATATTTCCTAGGTATTTTTCAACTGCTATTAGTTCGACCATCGCTGTTATTCCTTGCAAAGAATTGTTTCTTTTTTTGGGGGGAAACGTTGAAGAGTTACAAAAAGAGTTTTTTGGCGAGGGTCGCTTGCTTGTTTACCTGGCCCCCGAGGGTTGCCACATGCACATTTGCATATCGTTTCAAGTGCGAAGCACTGGGGGTTGGGGGCACAGAAGTTGAATAGGCGTGGCACTGCTTATCGCCGCAACACTTGCCGCGAACGGGGGCAAGTATTTCCGTTGCCTGGGCACGCTTGTTAGTCAAGCGCGCGAGTCAGCGGAGGAGCTCGAGGCGAAAAGTGGAAAAGGGGCAAGTGTCAGCTCTGCGGCGGAGTTCAAGTCGAAGTTGCTGCTGCTGGTTGTCGCTTAACGATTTCGTGTCATTTTTTGCATTTCCTTCTTGTGCAAGGCTTTCAGTTTTATACACTCCCCCCACACCGCCTGGATTTTCCGCCTGCGGTTTTCCATCCGTTTTGAGTGTGCGACGGCCAGTCTTATCGCGTGCTACCTGTGTGGCACCTTCAGACAGCCACAGACTGAGAGAGAGTGATACAAATTAAAGCAAAAATAGCAAGAGCACAGAAAAAAACATTTAAGAAAGTCATAAAGAAAAGAAAATAATAAGAAAAACAAGACGGCTTGGAGGGAAATGCATACTGTGGAAAATAAATCACAAAGTGGGAGAAGCGGTTGGTCGGTTGTAAATTTCCCTGGCCCCTCGGTGTACGTGTTAAAAACTTCTCACGTGTCAGTCGTTAGGATCTTTGGAAAGTGAAGAAGCAAAGTCGCAGGACTCGAACGGATGTTCGCTCTATCTGCAATGCAGAAGATAACTTTTGCCGCTGTCTGGCGGCGGCATAACATTTGCATTTTCGCCCCGCTCGATTATAAGATTTCGTTATAGTTATGCCGCCAAATGATGAATGTGCCAGGGCCAAAGCAAAGTGTCTGCAATTAGGAAAGGCAGGAAAGGCAGCCAAGATGCCACCGAGACCGGGGGAATCCCTTCAAGAAGTTGTCGCCACGGCCCGCGAATCCGATCAATTAAAAAGCAACTTACGGATGCTGGTGGTGGTCATGGCTGCCGACTGTCAGCTCCTTGGCGCTCAGTGTGATTAATTTCAGGGCCCATTTGCATGCGCCATGGTGAATGATGCCATAATCCTTGCAGCTCCTGTCCCTTCCTACAGCTTCTGGGCCATTCTTTGCTGCAATTTTAAGTAATTTTACGCCTTAACTAGAGGGTATTGTGAAT